TTATATTTCATTTTTAAGTTAGTGATACATTGGTTTTAATTTAATTTGTTTACTTAAATATTTACTTTACAATATGTGAATAATACACCTTCAGTTATATCAACAAGAAGATAAGCAAAAGGAAAGACAGGCATCAACGTTTACTATTCATTACTACCAATTAATAGTATATTTTGTATATTTTGTATAGTAATAAGAGTGAGATTTTATTTTTCCATAAATAAGCAGCCCGATATATTTAAAATTTAAAATTTGTGCCAAATTTCCAAGTATTTGTTGAGATTTAAAAAGGAAGGAAGTAGAAGGGTTAAATACCCTGAGCCTTCAGCAGGTATGAAGTGTAGTTCAGGGGCATCATAAACTTCCTCTCCCCGATAATCTCTGCTAAAGCGACAATCCCTGAAGCCAGAGCCTGCACCGAATCTAATTGAGAGCAAGCTGAACAAACAAAAATACCACACTCTTTAGTGTGATGTGCTGTCAAAGCACTGGGACTTAATGTTATTACACCAAAAAAACCATCAAACTGTAGGTCAGACAAACTGCCAACGAGTGCAGCTCTGAGAAATGTGAGATGGAGAAATACAATTCTGAACACAAAGGCATGGCTGGTGAAGAAAGGTTTCTGTTCCAGTGGACAGGACACAACAGGAGCTAATAGGGACCATTAGTGTGTTCAGAGTGACCCAGGAGGGGCTTTCCTGGCAGCAGGAGAATTCTCCTGAAAGTCCCCTGTGGGAACATTTCTATGGAAATAAGCTCAATTCTGAATATGTGAAAACATTTGCCTCCACTTCAACAGACTTAAAAGCTTTTTCCAAATGTGTTCAAACACAATGAGTTCCACGGCTGAGTTGTGGCGACAACATCTTTGATGATTAACCATGGAGGAGGAAGAAAGTGCAGAGAGCAGGCTCTCGAGAGGTCGTAGAGTGAGAGATCGTTTGAGGAAATGAGCCCACGTAAATCTGTGCTATGAAACAAATGTACATGCACCGCGAGGCTGCACTATTATTATACTAGGGCTTCATATACTGTTCTCTGTGGTAGCAACCGTCCATTTGGGAGAAGGGTTCCTCCAGCACTCGGCTGGGAAACAGGGAATTGTGTTGTTTGTTCTGGGCTGATGCAACCGTTTTCAACATCAGCAATAGGTGCAACCTTATCTTTATTTAGAGCATCATTGTCTCAACAGTGTTGGTGCTTCAGGCTGCAATTACCAACACATTGTCAACGATAAAAACGATTACTAAATAATTAGTTTTTCTCAACACCATTCACTTTCAGCTAATTTCCATCTTCGTAGATTGACACTGGCGACGACATACATTTGTGATATTTGTTAAAACCAGGTTGCTTTCCTGATGCAAGTGGTCTGCATTATTTCGTCTTGGGACAATTAGTGTAAAGGAAGTGTGTCCAGGAAGAAATATTTTAAAGTTGAATTGTCCCTCTGTCACTGTGGTCATTATTTGAACCTGTACCTCTCCTTATGTTATGTGCACTGCATTCCTAGGGAGGTTGCATTAAAAAAAGTTTCTTGGTAAAACTCGTTTCCTAATTTTAAATGTATGTGTGCAGGTAAGATGATCTCAAATTTAGATTAGATTAGCATCACATTCTGAGACACTGGTCTAAAAAGAAAAAATGCATCAGTCTATGTTATAACACTGAGCTTAAGAAGAATTAGAGGTGAATGTTTTATCAACCACTGTAGATATACAGTCAGTTACACACAACTAAATTCGTCCTCTACATTTAACACATACCTGAGGAAGGGTCATCTTCCCCTTGCATCTGTCTATGCAAAAAAATGTCAGACGCTACAATATGTGTGACCGATTAGACACTAATATATTTAGATTTGACCATCAGTGAATGTCACCATTACTTCCTGATGGCCGATGCCAGTTAGTGAGCATTGGGTGATACTAATGTTCATATGTTCAGATGCATCAGTAAATTAATAATTATCGTTATTGCTTTTTGACATATATTCATTTAATTCACAGAGACACAAACGTTTAATTTTGACTGAGGTACCTGGAAAAACCCACACATACAGAAACAACATAAAAACTTTAAAGAAAATCAGGAAATATCACTAACCACGGTTTGTGGAGTTTGACACCTATGACATCATCATGGTAGTGCCGTCCATTAGCCTAGAATTATGTTTGATAGAATGTTACGTATATCAGTAGTGTTTACTGTGGCTATGTGAAAAGGTGACGCCTATACTGATGATACTGAGCCTCAAATGCACACACAGCTGGTAAAAGACAGACGGTGAGGCTCTGTTTTACGACTCTAAGTGTTGACAAGTCGGATCAATAGAAACCACGGATTTCTCCCCATGTTTCTTCAAAGAGTATAAGATATTTCCTAGCTAGGAAGAAGCAGGAGGTGTCAAAACAACCAGACTGTAGAGCTCTGGATCAGACTGATGTCAGACCATGTACAGTTTCATTTCATAATGGAAGAAATATTCACAGGGCTCGGCATGCAAACTGAACATATCATCCCACATACACCCACACATTTACAACCGTAAAATTGTCTTAAACAACTCACAACCCGATCCTGGCGTACTGTACATGCTGCAGGTCACAGAGTATTTGCTGTAAAGATTATGTTCCCCAGTCCTCATAACAAATATGTATTTGAAATAGTACATCTCACTAAAAATTAGTTTCAGACTACTATACAATAAATACAATAAACATGAATTAAAAATTTCAAATCTTAGGGTTAGTACTTGCAGCAATTTCCCTTTGAACTTCCTGCCTTAAAATGCAGCAAAGACAATACAGGAGATCCACGTTTTTTCATTCTGACCTATGGCGGTAAAACTAGCCAACTAGTTCACATAGGAAGATTACAGGAAGTCCTAGATTACAATGTGACCACTGTGTTAGCATAGGTGAGTGACAAAGGCCGACACCCAGAAAAAAACAAGTTACACTGCACTGTAGGAACGGAACCTCTAATATGTTCTAACCTTCTTTTTCAAGAAACCTTGAAGAATTGATTTTACTAATCATGACTGAACCAGGGACGACCATGATACTTGAAAGGACAAAGCAGTACCGGATGAATCAGTGCACAGTATTAAGTTAAATATTGAGCAGGTAAATGTAGCGTCACTACAGTGTCTTTTCAGTGACATATCACTTACAGTGCTAAATCAGAATATGTTACCTTTTTAATACACTGTAATATAACCTGTTCTGGGACAATTATTGGTCACGTCTCGTGACCCAAATGAATAGATTAGGAAAATGAATTATCCTGTTTACACTCAATCGGTTTCTGATTTGATCCAGTGTTTTGGCAATGTGGACATGCAATTATCCAACTGTGCAGTTTTTATAATTAGTTGCACAGCACCATGATAAGAGGGGTGGGTGATGGAGGGAAGGGGTGGTGGTGGTGGT